TTAATTATTTCCAGCGTGGCTGCCTTTTATCGCGAACCATATTTCACCTATATATCCACTAGTGTTCTGGAGTTTTACTCTATCACTTAACACCCTTCTAGCATATCCCAATAGAGAGACCTAGCCATGACAATCGCAACTTTCAACCCGCAACTGCGACTCCTCAATGCTCTCCGAGCAAATGCAAAGCCCATAATGACCTTCTTGGGCCTCCCCTCTTTTCGCACCGCTCAAATAGTAGCCCAGACCGGCCTTGACGTCAGTGCCCAATCCTACCACTCACCTTCCCGCTAAGCTAATCTGATTGAAAAGGGCATCATCATCGATTGCGAGCATGGTCACATAAGCGATGACTCAATGCACAGTGCAACAGCAGCTATAGCTTCTCTAGGAGTATCGCCGCTTGTGCGTTTACGAATGACTCACTCGGACTTGATTAAACGGGCCCTGGATGCCGGCGCGCAGTGAGTAGCACCCGGTCCACTTACCATTACTTCATGATATGCGCATACTGATCAACCTACAAGCGGAATTGTGGTCCCACAAATAAACACCGCCGAAGAAGCCCAAACAGTAGTCTCTTATTCCAAGTTTCCTCCACAAGGGCTTCGCGGACAAGGTTCGGCATTTCCGGCATTTACACATAGTATCGACCTGTCGACGTATATCAAGACAGCGAATGAAACCTTGATTACATGTATTCAAATCGAAACTAAACAGGGAGTCGAGAACGTTGAGGAAATTTGTGCGGTATCTGGTGTTGGTGAGTTGCGGTCATACTCGTTTCTCCAGCTATGCAAATTTGGCTAACTTGAGGCAGATATGATTTTCATAGGTCCAAATGATCTAGCTCTGTCAATATTGGGGTATGTCCCCGCAAGAGGTGACGAGCCTGAGTTTGTACAAGCTATCGAGAAGATTGTGGCTGGGGCCAGGAAACATGGGAAGTGGGTTGGTCGGCTGTCGAATAATGGGACGTTGGGCAGGGAGCACTTGAAGGTCTTTGATACAGTGGCGCTGAGCTATGATATCCGTGCCATGCAGAATTGGTATACTAGTGAGTTGCAGGTGGCGCGGTCGTGATGCGTTTGAGTGATTTGGGAGATTACTGCTCGATTTGTTGATACCGTTGACGGTCTGTGAAAGACTTGTACTCGTATACTTACCCTGGATACCAATCTATATGAGCTCATTCGGAATTTATAATGCAGGAATTTCATTGACAGTAGTAGTAGTGCCTTTGTAGATGACGCGTCATAATGCCAAGAAACAAATATCGAAGTCGAGTATACGAAAGGCAGGTAGGGATACAGGGTCTTAAAACTATGATATAGCGATATGAAGTCCGTTTCACTTTTCGAATCATCACCATTCCATGTTAGCTTTATGGGAACATTGGGGATCGATAAGCAGTGAATCGAAAGACACTAATGTTTTCACCCTTGGCGGAACTGAGGCATCGAGAGGGCAGAGTGGTATGGCACTCGAGCAATACCTTTTGCATAATACTGACAGTCAATAATCGGTGTAGTATAGCATATTATTGTTGTTCGCAACTGTGGGTATTGAGATATAGTGGGAACCTTGATGGTAAGGAGACAGAGGCGGTTGGGCACGCTCGAAATATCGACTTCCAGATTAATTGAGACATCGTAGCAACCTCGATGGCCGAAGGGGAGATAGTAGCAGGGCCTTTGTAGATATCAACTTCATCTTGGAAATAGATGCGATGCGTTATCTCCGTACAGGCACGAATACAAGATGATTTTTCTCATCTCTGTGTATCGGTGAAAAGGACATTTCACTGACCAGATGTGCTATGGCAACTACTATCTCTTCATGGTGAGCGAAGTGCATTAACCACAAAAGCAGTTTAGGGCTATTGGTGACTTAGTAACTAGGACCCTGAAGAACAAACAGACCCTTCATTAGTCTTACCCCGCGACGCAAGTCAAAACAAGAAAGCTTGGCTGTCAGCATGAAGATTGATATATCACTCAGTGAATATAGCACCGAAAATAGAGTTCTGAACACCGCGATTAAAATCCAAATAGTAATCAGTGTGCTCAATCTCTCACAACTTTAAGTTATATAAAGACATATGATTTCCCTGGTTAACACTATCGCGCAGTATCAGCACCATCCCACTACTCCTACTATGATCTTCATTCATTCCAACAAACAACCCTGGATAACAATGATGACCACCATAACCCTCTCGGCTTTCGCCTTTGAACACGCTTGTCACAGCAGCTCCCACCAACAGCCTCTTTCAGCTAGTGAGCAGCTTCAGCACCGACGATCTCAAGGGCACCGACGGTATCTCCCCGGGCTTCACAACGCAGGGCAACCTCTACACCTGCCACCACCAATCCTTGTATGCGGCGGGTGACCCGACTTACGCGATCTTTGCCAGCTGACCTGGCGGCATTTTTCGAGCGACTGCGTTGAGATCGGTCTACAAGTTGTTTTTGATAAGGATTGATGCGTCGGGGTTCTGTCTTCGGAATTTGTGTGGAGAAATTGATGCCAAATTAGAGACTTGCACGATCGGTGAAATAATTAAGTTGGTGATTTACGCCCAAGTGAAAGATATCCATTGTCCACAGTATTGTAATAATTATTCGAGCTCTCTCTACGTAACCTGGGCTGTGGCACATATACATAATGTATTTTCATCGAGAGGATCTAGATCAGGGAGCAATTATTGTAACTCATTTCTCATTGTTTACAATCTCTAATACAGATCTAGCCCACTTTATTTGAAAGCATAGACAAACTCTTCATCATACAGGCCTAGAACCCCTTCCTCAATTTTTCTCATTCCGCTGCAGTGTGTGATATCCAAGCTTTTCCCGTGCCTCCCCAATGCTTGCTCCTCCCACAATCATTTCACGAATGCCCTCCTCGCTCTTCTCGATCTTTTGCGCAACTTCCGCAACTTCCCTTGCCCGATGCCGAGGGACGATGACAACACCGTTGGCATCAGCAACAACGATATCACGAGGGTTGACACGCACTTTGCCAATACCCACAGACTCATTGACGCCTCCTACCTGGACACGGTCCTTGCCAGTCCGCATCCAGCGACCAGCTGTGAAAAGGGGGTACTCGTCCTTGATCGCGCGGTTTACATCTCGGCAGACACCGTCAATGACAGTGCCAGCAATGCCTCGCAAGCCAGCATATTGTGTCATAATATCTCCCCAAACGGTGCAATCCGTACGACCGCCGTTGTCAATAACCACAAAGTCACCCTCAGCGACACCGTCGATGAAGTCACCAACACTGCCCGGGGGGTCGCTGGCAGGGACGTAGCGCACAGTGAAGGCCGGTCCTACTGTTACCTTCTCGTAGTTGGTCAAAGGCATGATTCCGAGCGCCTGGCCAGGGATACCAAGCTTATCAAGCGCATCCGAGATACCAGGTGTGTCTGATTCGGCAAATAGGGCAGCCAACTCTGCATCTTCGGGGCTTGCTTTCTTAGGGTTTGATGATGACGACGATGGACCAGACGGAGCAGACTCTTCACTTGAGCGGATAGCCTCGAATTGCTTATCATGCATGACCTCCGAGACGGGGTTTCCAGCTCTTACAGCCTGCACCATACGGTTTTGGCGACGATCGATACGTTCACCCAAGTCCAGAACCTCCTCGATGCGCGCAGCCGGCACAAATACCGTTCCACAGATATCGGCAATCACGTAGTCATCTTGGTTGACGGTGACACCTCGAACCTGCAATGGTGTACCGGACTCGAGCTGCACTAGTCGGTTACGTGCGCTGATCATGGTCACACCCCGGCCGTAGACGGGATAGCCGACGTCCTTGCTGCCGTCGATATCACGACTCATGCCATCAATGATGGTTCCGCGAATGCCTTTTTTCTTCGAGGCATTGGCGATGATGTCGCCCCAGCATGAGATTCCCTCGGTGCCGCCCGAGATAACCAGAATGCGATCATCCGTCGTGACGGCATCGATGACCGGAGTGAGTAGATGAGTCGTAGGAGCAGCGTCGGTTTTGGGACCAACTTTGACTGTGCTGGCTCGTCCTACTATCTTTGGGCAGTCCCAGAGTGGTCGTAGTCCATAGGTGGCGCCCTTGAGGTCTAAGAAATCTAGAGCATCGGACACTGTGTTGGTGTCTAGGGCAGAGAGTCGGTTTAATATGGTGGATTCACTCATTGTGAAGATTATCGGTGTCAATCGTTCAAGTAGTATAGAGATACAATGTTGGATATTGGACGTATCACTTGATTGAGGCAGAAGGATTATAACAAGTAGATGATAAGGGAAGAACAGCCTTCTACTAGTAGGTAAGGGTCTGCATTTATATTCCTCAGCACTGTGCTCTATAGTTCGGCAACCTAACCCATATGCGGAGGATTTCTCGGCGCTGAGGAAACACGCCGTTTGAGCGGCGGAGGTCCATTTCCCGCTGGTGTGGCTGCACTGATCGTCGGCACAGTTACTTTTGCCCGACCCCGCTGAAGATCCCAACGACTCGGTCTTCCCAACTCCGTCGGAGTCCTATCTGTGGACCTATGATGTTCGCTATTGCTGTAGCAAGACCGGAAACCCAGGATATGTTCCTGATGCAGGTCGAGCACTCTGCGCCCTATGCAGTAGACAACCTCGTGTCTAATAAGACACATTAAGATTATACCTGTGGTTTCTAAATGGATCGAGTCTTGCATTTCGACCTGTAGGGACAAGCCAGATGGGTCTCTCCACTTTCTGCCATTATTGAGGAGAGCTTCAGTCTTTGAGAGGCACTACACCAGTCACTTGGCCGTCTGACCAGAGACTATCTTCACTCTTGATGCTATTCGACTGTAGCGAGGTCCGGCGCCAGTCCCAACACGGACATGATGACGCCGATAAGCACGTGACATATGCAAAGTAATGCCGGAATCCACCGCTTTGGCAAAGGATCCAGTGATCATTCCGGGAATGCTCCAATGTCTCTGTTCAAGAACTTCTACAATCCAGCAATCACTATATCGATGCAGCATATCTCGCCGCCAGGTGCAGCGATCACGAGAACGCTACTTCAGCTAGCCTCGCGCTGTTTCCGCCCCGATGACCAGAGCAAGTGAAGCTAAAATCAAACAGCTCAGGAACACTGCTCGAATCTCCTTCTGTGAAGTCTTCTTAATTACTACCACTTTCCAACTAGCAACCTATCTAATACAACCATTTTTTTTTTGTTCTAGGTACTACAATTGTCTATCTTATACCCTCAGTATTTTCATTCCCTAGTTCCCGGTGCGACCTCCTCCTACCCATGGAAACAGATCATTAGTATTATATTCAACACAAAGAAAACCCACCACCACTGCAGGAGATAAATCGCGAATTCTGGATACTTATACAAGCTGTTGGGATGCGGTTGTGCCCGAATCGACTAGAAAGTCCCGATCTTGATATTTCCCAGCCTGAACTTACCCAGTCAGATTGGAAGCTCCCTTGGAAAGCCTACAATAGTATGTGCGCCACTGGCCGGCTATGCACAGTATGGCAAGGACCTTACCATATCCTTGTCATGCTTTGCTGTACTACAAGATATATTTCATGATGCAGAAGCCGAACTCGAAGACTGGGTGATTAGCTATACGTAGTATGGGCAGACATCACCTGAATACCCCTTGCTTCCATGACCATCTCCTGCATACATCCAGACGGGCCTCTACTTGTCTTGGTTAGCCCGAATATATTGATGCCCTGATTTGACACCTCATCCCTCACTTTAGTTTACGTAGCCTAACATTATCAACATCTATCCGCCTGCGCAATATGGAAGCACTCCGCACATACCGGAAGGCCCCCTGAATACACTACCTCCAATAGCAGAGACAGTACCATCTCGAGTCACTGCAGCTCATGCCAGGATTCCTCTGGCCGCTCGGATCTGAGCATTTTGAAATGCTCTAGGAGCCGGAACCGGCTAGGCCGCTTTATGATCGTCTTAGCTGACCACATACGAAAGAAGCTATAGTGTTTGTTGCCCATCCAGCGTCCATTTGCCATTCACAGCTCGAAGTAAATAGGCCTCGACCTTCTGCCCAAAAGTCTTGACGGGAGGCTTTGCCTCTTGAGAGGTTAGTCCCTGTCTTGACACGAAGGAATTGATAGCTTTAGGGCAGTCAAGTCCTCGCACCCCGGAGCAAATTACGGACTTCGCCAGTCTACAGCAGACTAGTGCGAAAGAGCATTTCGTGGCTGAGACTGAGTAATTTGTATTGATGCATTTTTGCCCGGACTTGATGGACCAGGTCGATTCTACCGATGCACGATTGAGAGTGAAGAATCTAGATCCACCACTAGACACCCTTGCATTGCACCAACGAGAGACAAAGCCTAATGTGTACCAGGCAACTACTAAGTAGTAGTAGCTACATTAAAGATCTGCTCAACATTCATCCCGCTGACCAGTCACAGTATCAACGCTCAACCTACATACAATAAGCCCATTACATCAATATAGTATTTCATCATGCTAATGGCACCAGGCCACGCTCTCATCATGCACTCATCAAACATACACGCATCACAATATCTACTCCTTAATCTCCCTCGCGGGCCCATTACTAGGCTCCCGCATTAGATCCGCCCTTTTATCCAACATCGCCTCCGCCATAAACGGACTCCTCTCACGGATACTCTTCCCCCACACGATAAACGACAACGGCGCCAGCGTCAGCAACAAACTAATAAACGCCAACAATGTACTCGCCCACTGGAATCCCAACGTATTATACATGCTGGAAGTAGCCAGCGGCAAAAACGCAGAGACGGTGTTCTCCCCGACCACGAAACAAGCCATCGCGCTCCCGGCATATTTGCAATACGCGTCTACCACGTAATCCGCAATGCCACTAACCACAACCACACTACCCATGCCCACCATCCAGAGTCCCACGGCCGGAGCAATCCACGGCATGGAGGGGTAAGATGTCCATGCATACACGAACATTCCCCCCGCAATGCCGAAGACACCCCCTCCGACGGAAAGATAAAGTCTAGCCTCTGGAATGGGCGTCCCGGGGATTTCCTTATTGCGTTTCGAAGAGTTGAAGTACAGTCGTGCCGATATCAGCGAGAAAAACCACCCACACACCTCGCCGATGAATACCGCCGCCTGGACATACCCTGCCTCCACGGGCGTCCAGTTATACAGACCCACGAAGACCTGCTCGACGGATTGCGTGAACAGGTATAACGTGCCGACGGTGAAAGCAGACCAGAGTGTGGAGAAAAAAACGACGTATTCGGTGAAGAGCAGCTTGAACGGTCGGCGAATGCTGGTGAGCAGGACCTGGCGGAGCGGTTCGGCTTGGAGTTCGTGCTGGGTGTATGCGTTCTCACCCTTTTCGCGCAGTTTCCGAGCTCGGCGTTGCAGGATCACGGATCCTCTGGTTTCCTTTAGGATGAGAATGTTCACAAGTAGCAATGCGCCGACCCAGATGAGTTGTAGGTAGGAGATCCATCTCCAGGACAGATGAGCGAAGATAGGTGCACCGACTAAAGGCCCCGCACTACTTCCACCGAGGTAGGCGACAATCCAGAGAGCGACGGGTTTCGTGCGCGCCATTTCTGTCTCGAAGAGGTTGCCAATGATGCTTGCGGAGCCGTTGCCGAGGACGGCCACGCAGCCACCGGCGAAGAAGCGGACAATTATAAGAGTGGCGAAATTTTGGGCGACAGCTTGGGGAATTACGAAAATGAAGAAGACGAAGTTGGTGAGGAGAAATGTGATGCGGGTGCCGAAGTCTTCCATGAGGGGCAGAATAAGGAGACAGAAGAAGACGCCTCCCATCGTCCAGGAGGCGACGGGCCAGTATGAGTTTGGGAAAGTGGCATCGCTGACATTAAATTCGTCGTTTATTGCTTCATGGGCGACTGTAATGATAGTGCCATTCATGAGGGCCACGAAGGTTGTGGTCAGAGCAGTAATGGTCATTAGCCATTTCCTAGAAGTGGGCCAGTTGAATGGATTCTGGGGGTCCTTGGGACCATCCCAGTCCACGACCGTTGCATTAGAGCAATCACTGCAAGGGGCTGTGTCCATGGTTAGAATCCTAGTTCTAGAAGACAAAAGATGGAGTAGGAAACCTACTCGAGGGCTTCTCCTCATCCTCGACTGCCACCATGCTTGCGGGTTCGCGAGGACACACAAAGTATCGGCTGCGTGAGAAACCTTGTCTGTGCGAAGATATTCCCGGAAACCTCGAAGCTTATAGTCTAGGGGCCAATATTAAGACAAGCAGAGGGATTTATATGTAGATAATCATCCACGCGGCAATCGTCTTTGGTGTCAGACCAGGGTGGGACATTCCAAGCAGTTCGTAGTCTCCTTGCAGGAATATCGCAACAACTTATACACAAGACATTCACTTCTGGCGGGAAAATTGCATCCGGTTCACCAAAAAGGGTTAGGCAATGGCTCCATCGGAGAGAGCTGAGGAGTGGAACTTTCCTTTCAAAGGATGGATATGAAGGCTGGTGGGGAGGCACGATGCTAATAAAGCTTGGGTGCGATTAAGGGTTTTGGAGGAGAGAAGTGGAGTTTGAAATTGCCGCTGAATTACATATGGGTCCCCGAGTGTTTAGCGCAGCCCTATCCCTCTCAAGATTTGTAAGTTCTAGAACGATTCATCAAGTTGTAGCTAGTAGATAGATCATTTGTAGATACAAGATGAACCCTGAGTCGAGGTCCATGTGTTGTGAGAACCGGGGCCATCACACTTGCTCACACCCCAGTGAATCGTCAGGACCTTCATCTTGGTAGGTTATTTGCAATTCCAGCACCTCCCCACCGGTAACTTTCGTCTCTTTGTTCCTAACCAGGCACCTCAAGCTCACCCAGTATCCGTTAGCGACCCAGATTTTTCGGTGGCTACCGCTGAGCTTTCTCCATCGAGCAGCCTGTTTGGGATTAGTGTGCGGTTCACGTGAAGGGGATTTTCACCACCGCTTACAAAATGGAATTATGCGATGGGTTGGATGCTCGGCTGATGAATCAAATCAATGCCTGAGCAGATCTTTTTGGCTTCCCTGCGTGACTCATTGGATTTGCAAATAGATATACTACCCCGTTCTACGGATTTCACCAGCCTCCGATTGGCTGGCTGGCAATGTTACACCGATGGGCCCTGTCATGTTCAACGTGTTCCGCAGGAGCTTGGGTACACTACGAAGTAGATCATAGACACTATGATATGTCTTCGGGGATTATAATACCTGTACTATCACATGGAGCCGCGACAGCCACGCCATGTGCATCCTGAAGGGCACAAAAGCCCGCAAAAGGCGATTTTCGGAGGGCTCGCTATGTGTGAATCAATTTATCCTCCGTTTCGAATCGTTATTGGTAGCGTCCACCAGCTAGCTAGCTAGTAAGTTCACTGACTTTTCAGTCAGGTTCTGCTAGCCACATGATGTATATTTTCTACCTCAGTTTGCAGGCGGTAAGTTAATGCACAGGCAAGATTGCAATCCCGTCCTTGCAACAAAGCCAGAGGTTAGAGCTAATTAGGGAATATAGTGCGACAGCCTTATACTGTACTCATTCATAGCGTTTGTTGTAGAGATAGCTAAGAGGGTCCTATAGTGGACTGTTCTAAGGACATTGTAGAAGGGTCCATTCATGTCAGGGTTCTTAGACGCCACGCTGCATTGGAAGATCTGTCTAGTCCTCGGCATATGGTGCCTCAGGTACGAATTCCTATCCTCAGGCACTAAGCTTTGCCACTGAATCCGACTAAACCCAAAGCGGAAGGTTTTGACTGGTCCGATGGTTGATGTTAGCTGGTACGAGGAACAGCATACAGGTTTGTGTTGGCAAAACTGTAAGCATGAGCGAATGCCGGTGTAGGAGACGCATCACCGGTGTGTCAGTTGCAATTCTAGCTTAGATCTCACATGATACCACTCTACTCTTGTGTCTATGATCCCGAAAGAGCTAACTCGTAACACCAGCATGACATACTCCGGAATCCTCTAGTTGTCAAATAGAAATAATGAGGGTCTGGATGAAAGAGGAGTCGAGTCGTAAGTAGAGGAAAGAATCAGGGCATGATTACAGATGAAAGTTTCTGTCTCTCTGAATCGGTCACAATTTTCACATAATACTTTGCATAAACTTTGCCAATCAGGCTAATTTGTCCAATAGTGCCCCCCAGATCCCTGCAAGTGGTCGGATTACATCACTGCGGGCCGATTTCCTAGTCGGGCGCATCCGCCACGCGACCGACATTCCTCCCTATTGAACCAAAACAGACTTCCAATTTCATCATCTCATCTTCATTTTCATCCCATTGATCCATTGACTAGATTCAAGGAAAGGAACCAATTGACTCCCCTTCAATATGCTCGCGTGGTGAGTTGAACAACACCCACCCCAATCACCACCACTACCATCTCCATCCCCCGCATTAACGATATCAATTCCCCAGGTACCAGAGATGTCTTATCCAGCGTCCTCTCTTGACGCAGAGCCTCACCACAGCGGTAAGCTTCAATCTGTCCTCATCACACTCTTTCAACAAAGCTGAGAAAGAAATCCACCAGACCCTCTTCGCAGTAGGTGACGGGCTCGCCCAGCAAGCCGTCGAGAAGAAGGGCCTGCCCAATCATGATGTAACCCGAACTGGACGGATGGCTTTGTATGGTGGTGGTAAGTCCAGCCCAGCCCCCGTTCCCTCATCCCCCCTTCATTCCCTCTAAACAAAAGCAAAAATATAGCTGTTTTCGGCCCGGTCGCCACAAAATGGTTCCAATTCCTCCAGAACCGCATCCAGCTTTCAACACCAACCAAGACTCTTGCTGCGCGCGTTAGTGCTGACCAGCTCGTCTGCGCTCCTACCATGATTGGTGTCTTTCTCACCAGTATGTCTGTCATGGAGGGCGTTGATCCTCAGGACAAGCTCAGTAGGACGTACTGGGATGCCCTGCGCGCCAATTGGATGCTTTGGCCGGCGGTTCAGACCCTTAACCTTGCTTTGGTGCCGTTGCAGTACCGTGTGTTGACGGTTAACGTGGTTAATATTGGTATGTATCTTTGGATTCCTCGTTTCCATGGGTTTGCTTTGGTTGCTGGGTAGAGCTGACGGTTGTATAGGATGGAATTGCTTCCTGAGCTTGGTTAATAGCGTCCCTCATGGGGATGAGGTTGCTCCGGGAGTTTGATAGGTTTCGCTCTTTGGCTTTCCTGTATCTTTAATGTTTGGTTTGGCTGTTTACTACGGTATTGGTTGTGTCGGATAGATGGCAATTTTTTCTTGGCTTAGAATAGAATTTCAATTTCTGGTGTTCCCTTGTTCGAAATGATTATGGCCAGATTTCCTCTCTGAATCCACTGGGCCACTACACATATTCGTTTGATAATTGCAACATGATTTCAGTAACAGCACTATGTAAGCAGATGCTCAGGAAAAAGTGGTACTAAAAAGCGCTTCGTTCAAAATAGAAAGTCTTCATCCGCCGATCCAGCCAGCCAAATTCGTAAATCTCTTAACGCGTCAAGGTCATTCTTCTCCAGCGCAACATTGACAGAAGGGTCATGCCACTGGTGTGTTCTTTTCGCTTCGGTGTCTCTCAACGACTCCCCGATAAACCGACAACTATCAAAATCGATCAGAACAAGCGTACCCTTTTCATCAATCATAATGTTCGCTGGGTTGATGTCATTATGGACAAGTCCGATCGAATGAATATGTTTGATGGCAGACATAATCCCTTCTAGACCTTCCTTCATCTTCTCTCCCACAAGCTCACGAGCACTTGAAAGGAAAGCGACCTTGTTAAGTCGCTGAGGATTGACCGCTTCGAGTAGCGTGGACGTATATCGCTGGAAGCAAAGCCCAGAAACTCGGCCGTTAGTCTCCATGAAACCATAATAGGTCGCAATATTTGGATGGGGATGTTTGCGAAGAATTTCGCATGCTTCGACTTCGCGGGCGATTTGCTTTTCGAGATCTCCATTGACATACGCCAGTAGACTTGGGGTTTTCACGTAGACTGCTGACCAGGTGGCTTTCGCCTCTGGGCCCCTATCCGCTGTTGGGACCTGCTTGACCTCATCGAGATCGTGAAGTGTTTTCGGCGATTCGAATCGATTCGTCCATTTTCCAGAATATAGTATGCCGTCTTGCCGGACGAAACACTCGACATAGGCAAATTTCATCTTCCCTTCGATCTTTCTAAAGGCCTCGTTTTTTTGTACGACTTCCATAATATCGCGGTGTATCAGTTATGAGGGACCTGGGGAATTGAGTGGAACATGAACGACGCGACATGGCCAAGGAGATTGTGAGCTGGTCTTTTAAATCTGATCATAAGGGGTGGGACGCGTGACTTCGTGCGAGTGCGGTTGCAGCCAACAATATTTTCCTAGTTGCGCTGCTTTTACAACAAATCACAAATGTATCAATTCATTTAGATTACCATTCGAACTGTTTACAGTAGGGAGTCCCCTATAGACGAGTTGACTTATGTTTCACGATTTCGCACCGGACTAGTCATAGGAGTCAGTACATATCTTCAATAAATGACCATCCAAATCCACAGATTAAGATAATCAATACGAGGCAATACCTTAAACCTGGACCCACGAATTTGTGCTTCGGTTATTGGGTACACGATCGACCACTGTGGCTAATATATGTTTGATGCGGGCAGTACCTGGACAAAAACCGAAGCCTATACGCAGCGGAGAGGCCGAAGCTGACCCAAGATGAAGAGAGAGAGCCGCGAAAAAGTATCCCGCCGCATACTCGTGTAGCTTTCGAGCAACCGAGGCTCAAGCGCTAATGAAGCGAGTGTGTGCACTACTCACACTTCGCTACTAAGAGGAGTGAAACACTAATAGTATGTCGGTAGACACTTCGAGTCCAAAGAGCCTCGTGTCTCTGTCCCAGATTTACCTACTTTCAACCAATGATAGGCAGTTGTCGATATTTACGGTCCTTGCAGCCTGAATGTTATCTCTCTACTCCCATGCAGTAGTTCCGCAACCCTATCATTGAAGAGCTAAAGTGCTACAACAGGGCGCGTTACTCCTTACTATATATTAAATTTATCATATAGCCAAAGATACTAGAAATATAGATATCAAACATGGAAGAGGTCAAAGGATGATCATGTTCGTAATTAGATAAGATGTCTGGGGTCTCCGGATACAAGGTGAGAGAGACGAGGCTGTGGGAAGAGGTGATTATGCAAATCAGAGTGCAGCATCGTGTAGCTCCTTCACTAGCGTGTCAATAACTGCATTGACCAGCTCTGGCTCCACGACGCCTGTCTGCCATGTGATCCCCAAAACCAGACAGCCATCACCACCGGTGATTGACGAGACCTCCAGAGCTGCACCCAAAGCACTGGGTGTCTGGGAGAACATCGCCCGTGTGGCCTGCGGCCGCGACGGATCTTCTTCCTGTTTGGACTGCAAGACACCCACATTGGAAACTTCAAAGCTTTCATCGCGGTCTTTGCCAATCTTTCCCCGGAAGAGGTCCTGAAAGTTATCTATATGTTTGAGCAAGCATGTGCCAGCATTTTTTCCTTCGCGACCCAGTGCCTGTTCGATAGTCGCACGAGACTTCCTGGCTTGATCCCATGGGAAGGTGTCGGGATATTGATTCACCTCGTTCCGATAGAAGCTTTCCGCAAAGTCCATGACCCAAACGCCCATAGACTGATCTGTAATTTCTCCTCCCTTCAGCCACCTTCGACATGAGATGGCGCCGTTCATTTGAACTTTGGTATACTTCACTGGCAAGTGGGTGAGAAGAGCGCGGGCAACTGCTGCCTGCAAAGCAGCGGTGACAGTTGCATTGTTTTGACGACAGTTCTTTCTGAAAGCTGCAGACACAGCTGCGGGGATGATGATTTGGCGTAACTCGGTCTTGACTGGAGCGGATATTTTGGCGCCTGTCCAGAGGCGTGGATCGCGATGAGACCATACTTTCGCTCTGAAAAGAGCATTAAGAAGAAAAGGTATGGTCGTAGGACATGGATGGAGCGCCTCCAGATTTGGCAGCAGAGGTGATGTGGGCGACTGAATGACTTGTTTAACCTCGCCTGGGGTCATGAAAGTAGCAGCAGCGTGTAATGCATCCAAGAACGTCTGATGAAATGCCTTCCCTGAAGTCCCGTCCCCAATCGCGTGGTGGAACACATAGACTGCGGTAAAGCGCAGGTCATTCGCTTCATCTGTCAGGATGAATAGTCTCCAGTACGGCAAAGGGGCAGCAAACCCTGTACTATGTTGAACTCGCAGCAATTCGCATAATTCTACATCCGGTTCATTGTTGTCGGGAAAGTCGCGGGTGCGCCTTTGAAATGCCACCGACTGGCTCAGATCAATCTCCGGGAGGCGCACGAACCAGGTATCTTCGGTATCTTCACTGATGGGGATGGCGGACAAGATAGGATGCTGGCCGATCAATGTCTCACAAGCCTTATATACATAGTCTTTTAGTGGCAGAGTGAATGTATCCGGCAAGATGTAGGTTGCCGACACCGCGACGTTAAAATATAGTCCGAGTGAATGGCGCGTGGTGGAGTATTTCTCCAGGGGCCCTGACAGCTGTCAATTCAAGTCCCCGTTGGCCTCGGCTTCTCAAGTCAGGCACTTCTCACTCACCAACTGGACGTAGTCTTTCAAAATCATTCATTGTTGCAAGGATGTCGCATGCTAAGACTCTGGGCGCGATGAAACACGGAGGAGAAAGAAGAAGTACAATGGAAGGCCACGAAGAACAATAACTTGCCCTTTCAAGACCAATCCGCCGGGGAAAATCAACGGGTCGCGCCGCCCCTGTATACTTTCCGCGCCAAAATTTCCTTTTCCGGACAACCTTGCGACGGCATACAAGGCAGACATTAATACCATCCGGTCTGATATAGTCGATCGCTCCATTTCAACAGAAGGGGTACTGCATAAATATTATGTTTCCATCTTTCTCTAGTATTTGTTAAAAGGTTTATCGGACAGTACTACTACTTCGTTTCTAACATCTACTTAGCCCACTCGGGGTCTGGAATCTATGTGAGTGTCAGTGGTGTATGCAGGCCAGGGTTCCATGCTACACTCAGGTATGTAGTAGTTTGTTGCTCATTATTTTCTAAATGATGATCAGAGCAGAGGCGATCCGGTTTCGGAAGCCGTCAGTCATGTGAGGAGCAGATCACATGCCCACTACCATCACGTGCCGTGACATCGGGCGCCCAAGAGAGGCGAAACACCGGAAACTCACGGAAGCCCGACTAACTAACTAGTCACCGACTGTTCTGTCCGTCTGTCTGTCGCTCTGTCGCTCTGTCGCCTCCGGATATGTATCCATGTAACTAGTCCCGACGCGCCTCATTCTTTCCCTTATCTTTATTTCTATTCTCACCTGATTTCCCCTTCGTCTTTCTCGCCCTTCCAGAGCTCTATCATTGAGCGCTCCGATCCCCTCCTTCCACGGGCTGGAAGGGTCTCTCTCTGGTCGCGGTCTAGAATCCCCGAGTCCTAGCGTACCTCCACCGTTCGTCCCCACAGTTAGCTGCGTCCGTTCCTTGGTCTTCTCGGGGTTCCGATATACCTCACCACAATCTCCCCAATTGTTCGCGTCGACGTCCTTGCAGCATGCTTGGAGAAGGACCTGAGGACGTCTCTCGTCCTCATGTCCCACCACTGTGGGAAACGGAAAACCGTCCCGTGGACGATACCCCCGACCTCCCTCAGCATGAAGAGACCGGTCTCCCATACTTACCCGTCTGGCTACGGGAGTCATCCAAATCCATTCGCTGGGGATGGGTTCCATTGCCGCTACGCAAAGCAGGCTGGGCGATAGCTGACTGGGTCAAGGGCCCGAAACCTCCGCAATCCCTACTATTGAAGCCGCTGTTTCCTCGCTATCAAGAATTGCCGGTTCGGTTACTCGAGCGCTTCTTTCCCAAACGCAAGCATAAGATCGCATTGCTGGCACTGCTGTATTTTGTCTGGTTTCTGCCCTGGACCATTGTCTTGCTGCATTCGCGACAGGGCGGTTACATCGAAGGCTATGGACGACCGAAGACACTCGCTTGCTCCACGAGTCTATGGCAGTCTGGCAATGACTGTGGCCTCAACGGCAACGACTGTCGCCCCTTCTCTGCATCAACGATGGCCTTCCGGTGTCCTGCAAACTGCCGCGACTCAAAATTGCTCCAGCCGCATACGATCGGCAACCAGACGTACAGCTACCAGGGCCTGGTAGTGGGAGGTCCTCAACCAGAATCCGATGAGCCTGCCGTGTATCGAGCAGATAGTTTCGTGTGTCAGGCAGCCATTCATGCGGGCGTGATCACTAATGCGGTTGGTGGTTGTGGTGTATTGAGGCTGGACGGCGCCGCCCATTCCTTCCATGCGTCAAAGCAACATGGAATTCGCTCGGTTGAATTTCCGTCAACCTTCCCCAAATCGTTCAGCTTTGTCGAGCTGTCCTCAGCACAGGCAACCTGCCCTCAAGATCCTCGCTGGCCATTGCTAGGCATTACCATTGGCGCACTAAGTCTTCTCTGGCTGTTCTGCGTCTCCCCACCTGTTCTGTTCTTCAGCACGTTCGTCATGCTGTTTTGCCAGGTGGGACTGGTTTCTGATCCGCCATCGATCTCTCAGTTTGCCGACCTTTTCTCAACCATGTTCTCGCGACTCTTGCCGGCGTCGTTTGTGGCCTTCGTCCTGTATAAGTATTGCGCACGGCCGCTTCTGACCCCGCTATCCGAGCCAATGTACCAGCTGACTAAAATGCTCCTCTACCTGCCACCTGCCTTTATTGGTGGTCTGAATAATTACACTTTCGCCAGGCTGATCCCGCTCGAGCGTTTGACTCCTCATGATATCCAGAAGCAGCCCGGAGCCAAGGTTGCACTGGCCCTGGTGATTCCCACGGTGGTCTGCATCATCTTGAGTCAAGCCTGGCAAATTCGCATGGGAGGCTTAATGCCTCGCTACCTCAAGATCTATTGCACTATGGGTCTCATCCTGCTGATCTTACTCCCACTGCCAGGTCTGCGCTTGAGAATCCATCATTACATCCTTGCCATCCTTCTCATGCCGGGAACGGCCCTGCCTACGCGCCCTTCGTTGATCTATCAGGGATTGCTATTGGGTCTCTTCATCAACGGCATCGCTCGCTGGGGATTTGCGTCGATCATAGAAACTCCCGCCGCCTTGGGCGAGCAAGCCCCGGGCCCTGGGGGTTCGCACGGATGGTGGGGCGGGACCTACCCCAATGTCAGTGATTCCTCGGTCTCCGTCTCCCTTCCTGGTCCTGGGTCTCCCGAAATACATCACGGAAATGGAAATATCACTTTCAATCTCTGGGAACGGCAACGTATGGACAAGATGGGCGTAGATGGTATCTCTGTATTGGTGAACGACGTCGAGCGCTGGCGCGGCTATCTGGACGAAGACAAGCGGGGTGAGTTTATATGGCATCGACATGGACACAGAGGGCTGGAACTGCAACATCGACCCACCATCGAGAGTGACCAGCTGGACGTCACTGTGCAGGATGATGATTCTGAGCCGGAAGACCTTTTCTTTCGGTTCGCCTTCCTCAAGGGTGCGGAAGCCGGCAAATACGGTGGAGCCGGGGTTTGGCTACGGGATGGAAGATGGATATCGCCGCCTCCGCCGAAGTCGTAAACATAGATTTGGTGACTTTTCTGAGCCTGCTAAATTGTTGATTCGTTCGTTTGTCTCCTCATCTGGTACGAATAAACGTGGTCCATGCTGCAGATCCAAAAACCACATTCTTACGCTTTGAAACACCTACTATCCAACCTACCTCCTGTGCTTTCATATCACCCAATCTATGGTTGGTGGTAATGCGCTATAAATGGTTGGTTATGTCGCCGCCTCGCAATGATTACACTGACCTCCCGCACGTACATGAGCATGATGAAGTACCGGCTTGCAGCAGCTTCTAGTGACTCTCCCAACAAGCCATTGAAGAGCAAGGCATTCGTACTCTTCAGATCTTAACTCCATTTAGCCCATTATTGTCAAGCTAGATGCGTCACTTTGTGCAAAAATATATGAACCGAAACGTCTTGATTACGCAAATCCGCGCCCCAGTACATAAGGGCGGAAAAACGAAAAAATAAAAAAGAAGAGCAGTGACAAGATATGGTTCCACAATATTAACTATGTATTTGTATACGAACGTACCCTAACTAGGATTTTATAGCTACCCCCCTGCTACTATCTCACATATGTCTTCAATCTGTAACCGCCTCCATGATAAACTTCTACAGGGGTATAAATCAAGACAAATCCACCCTCGGCCCCGTGAAATTCTTCCTCCCGTCCACAACCCACTGTACCACCGAGACGATGACAATAATAGCAAATGCAACAATGCAGTAATCTAGCAGGACATATCAGCACTGAACACAGCCCCTGCTTCTCGGGGGGGAATAAAACTTACTCATACTACTCCCCGTAACCGGCCGATCAGGCGGGAATAGGAACAGCACAGTAGTAAGTGCAATATACGATAGCGAGATCTAGTCAAGTTAGCACATCTGCCACTATACGAAGATATCTGTAACTGGACATACAGTATCGATCACCCAGCCAATTGCATTAGGAACTTTCCACTTGCGATCAGGGAGGGTTCTCCGTCCGCGTAAACAATTCACTGCGATTGGCATGGCGTAGGAGAGATCTAGTGCGACGACAGAAGCGGAGATAATTGCGTTGAAGGCACTGTGTTTATCTCAGTATGTGTTTTGTATTCTCTTATGGGTAAAATGATGTCGGAGAGGGAGGTACCTGCTTGATCCGAGGTAAATGCACCCGAAGATAATTACCACAAAGGCGGTTAACATTAGTGCGTTCAAGGGAAGACCGAGTCTGGGGTGCACACGCGCGAAGAATTTGGAGGCGGGGAGGCCGCCGTCTCTGTTTCGTGTTAGACTTCGTGTCCATGTGCTTCAGGGAGCGGGGAGCGAGAAAGGACTGGTGACGTGCCTGGCGAATGCAAAGATCATTCGGCTGCTTGTTGTCATGACGCTGAGTGTTGCGAATAATAGACAGACGAGAGGAAGCCTGTAGTCCGACTTTAGTGCCGGTTGCATGAAATAAAGGGAGTGGAATATACATGAGGAGGCAGATGCCGCCCACCCGGTTGTTAGTGGCATGGATGAGGATTTCTAGTAGAGGCCCTGCGCTGGAATTGACTACTTCGTCCATGTTGCCCGCCACGAACAGGAGGACAATGAGGAATACCGCCCCTGTAAAGGTACCAATGCCGACGCAAACTACCATGATCTTGGGTCCTTTGATCGAGGGGTTGGGGATCTCTGTGTTCGAGTGTCATTAATAGGTTATTTAGGATGCATATTGGAAGTGATACCTTCGATCATGTGAGCCACCGCGTCCTAGTTCATGTTAGATTGACATCTGCACTGGTGAGTGGGATACTTACAAATGCGGTCACTCCAAGTCCCCCTTGAAGAAGCTGCGTCTGTTAGCGTCGTGGTAGACTAGTATAAGAGATGTGGCTAACCCCCAGTAACCAAGCCACTCCATCAGGCCCTATCGCTCGTTAGCTTGGCTTGCAATATTCACAGGACCTCTCCTTCAGTAAACTTACAGCCAGTTTGATTGACAAAGTCGCAGAACACAAAGCTATATGCATGGTCAGCATGGTGTGCGGCCAAGACGCTATGACGGGAATACATACTAGGCAGAGTTGTAGTCCGGGGATGCACAAGCCAGCACCGTGATGCAGATCAGAACAAAACCACCGATGGACCAGGTGACTGTTCCGGTTAATAACCCGCTCTGATACATTTTCCGCAGGGTAGCTTACATGCTCCACGGTAGATGATAGGCAAAATTGAATTCATGAAGGCGTTGATGACGAATGCAAGCAGTGTGTATCCCACGTAGATCAGGAACTCTTGCCAGCGCTGCCAAACAAAGTCCTACCAGCATGGTATTAACATCCAGATGATTGTCCAGAGACACTAGTAGTCTTACCGGGTACACGGATGACACAATTCCTGCAATCAATTGGCAGGAGAGAAGGGCATTGGTGGCGACAAGGGCAACCTAGCTGGTCAGCGATGATCAGGCCATTTCTGCGGAGACATACCCATCCGGCCACATTAATCCATCCGGTTACCCAGGATAGGATAGGAACCCATTTTGGCCAGGATACTGAGAGACGTTAGGGAATACTAACGTGATAGAGACAATCCTACATACTGACTGCAAATTGACATTAGTATAGCATCCTGAAAGGTTGCTGCGAGAAAACATACCGGCTACCCAATGATACTGGCCCCCCGCCCTGATACATTATCATTAGTGACTAAGCTCTTAGCAGACCAAGCTGGTTTGATAGAACTCACGTTGGATATGCGGACAAGAATTCAGCTAGCGACACTGCAATACAGAGGTTGCAGAACCCCGCCGTGACCAAACCTATGACTGGGGGTCAGCAATCCCAAATAGGAAACTAATTCCATTGGCAGCCCACCCCAGACGACACTAGTGCTCCCCCCTGAGGGTAAGCTGAGGGACAAGCTCGCGGATAGAGCCGTCCAAGACTAATCGGCAGATTATCAGCACGTGTGATCGACCCGTAGGCAGTTGGCACTGCAGAGGACATACATTAAGCACCGCAAAGGCCAGTCCAAGCATAGACCTAATCTCGGGTCAATAGGGTTTCTCCCATCGGGGCATCCAGGACCAGGCAATCAATAGTACACACAAGGTCGAAAAGTTCCGTTGCAGCTCGGGTTTATGCCCCATTTCGGCCAATTGAACATCATCCTCGGGCCCATCGTGGGCGACTTTCGATTTTTCCATGGCCGAGGGTCAGTCCAAGGGGATTGTTGACGGGAGATTCTGGCAGATGATGGAGTTGAAGTGCGACATGAGGTTACTGGCAGCTTAAATCGCACTGAGAGGGGTAATGTTGGGCTAATAGGAGCTATGGATCAAAGGGGTATGTCCAACCTCATGCGGGGAAGCTTGATCTACCCGCGGCTGGTCAAGCATCGCCCAATCCTCTTTGCGCGGCACTAATACTGTCAACCAGAAAGGGCAGATCAGGATCTATCCGGAATGGCGGCCCCAGGCACCCATCGGTCCATTTCGAGGTGGGGATGCCTTATCTCCTTATCGCTGCCTTATCAGGCGTTGCTAGCCAATCAGGAGGGAGGACCGCCTCACCCGCCTGGACATTCCTGTCTGGTGCAAAACCACCGGCTTATTCTGCTGCGCGGCTTTCATCCCTTGATGATTGCTGAATGAATCGCCTTCCAGAAGCTTGTTGAGGAATGTCTCACGTGGTACGCCCTCTTGCCTTGGCTGCCCGCCAAGATGCCTGTCCCGATCACAAGGCGCTCCCACCAGCCCTTCACCGATCATCCTTGCCCTTCCGTGCAGACACACTATTGATTTGATGCTTTTGCTTTTGCTTCCTCTCCCTTTGGGTTCACGCCTGATTAACTATTTGAGCTGGCCCTTGTCCGGCTGACCAGCCCACCATGCCAGGTCCTGACAGGCTTGATTTGACCTCCCCCTTATCCTCTCTGGTGTAGCAGTTGCCGTTCTCACCACGGCCAATCTACTTACTACTACCAGTGCATAGCAAGCAAATCAGTCTAATGCAGAACTGAGTGAATATATACCATACTACTATTGCCATCCACTTCCGCTCTTCGTAGACGTCACTCACCTGCCATGCATACGATTCCCATCACCGTTTCTTTATACGCCTTCCTAGCGACGACCTTTCTGTTCTCCTGCTCCGCTTATGTTGCACAGGCACCGCTTAGCGATGACAAGTGCACCGAAACAACAGTGGCCATCTTGTAGGAGCTCCCCACTGATGTTTCATATCGCGCTGGAGCTTAGCGTCTAACGTTAACAGGGGTGGAGGGATGGCCGGCATTGCAGCTGCAGTAGGTGACCCTCAGGCCCCCTACCCTTAACCCCGACCGGGAATGCTCACCAAGACCACTAGCAAGCCTTATCCAACGCATCTATCGACGACTTCATTATCCTCGAATATCGCCATACCTTAGGTGGTCGTGTCTGGCATACCGACTTCGGGAAGGATAAGCAGGGCAAACCATATGTGATTGAGCTAGGAGCCAACTGGGTATGACAACCTACACTCTGTCAAATCAATATCCGCCTCACCATTAAAACAGCTCCAAGGACTCGGCTCTGAAGCCATCGAGAATCCAGTCTGGGCACTAGCCAAGAAGTACAATCTGAAAAACACTTACTCAAACTACAGCTCCATCCGAACATACAACGAGACCGGCTACACTGACTACCGCTTTTTACTTGACGACTACGCCCAGGCCTACCACATTGCTGCCCGCAATGCCGGCCGCATCCTGACGCAGAACCTGCAAGACCAAACCGCACGCACTGGTCTCGCCCTCGCTGGCTGGAGACCACGCAAGAACGACATGGCCGCACAAGCCGTGGAATGGTGGAGCTGGGGTATGAACAATTACCGTTAAGAGGGGGAACACCCAACCCTTTTCATACCCATCGGGATAACACCAACCCTATCCCATCTCCCACACCGGACTAACGCATATCCCCTCAATTAGACTGGGAAGACGCACACACGCCCGAAACCAGCTCGCTGGTCTTCGGTATCGCCGGCGAAAACCTAACCTTCAACCAATTCGGCAAAGCCAACCACCTCGTCCTCGACCCGCGCGGATACAGCACCATCATCGAAAACGAAGCGCTCACCTTCCTAGCCAACCCCTCCGATAGCCGCCTACGTCTCGACACCCGTGTTACCCGCATCGAATACTCCCCAAGGGGCGTAACAATTCACACCAAGGACAACAAAAACAGCAACACCTGCATCCGGGCCGCCTACGCAATCTGCACCTTCTCCCTGGGCGTCCTCCAGAACAAAGCCGTAACCTTCGACCCACCCCTGCCGTCCTGGAAACAAACCGCCATCGAAAAATTCAACATGGGTACCTACACCAAGATATTCATGCAATTCCCGGAGACCTTCTGGCCCACAGACACACAATTCTTCCTCTACGCCTCCCCAACAACAAGAGGCTACTATCCCGTCTTTCAATCACTCTCGACAGAGAACTTCCTCCCCGACTCAAACATCCTCTTCGCCACTGTCGTCGACGAACAAGCCTACCGCGTCGAACGCCAATCCCTGACCCAAACCAAAGACCAAATCCTCGATGTCCTGAGAGAGATGTTTCCCGACAAGGACATACCCGAGCCTACGGCGTTTACTTACCCCCGCTGGACGAACGAACCCTGGGTCTACGGCAGCTACTCCAACTGGCCGGCGGGAACGACCCTCGAGATGCATCAGAATCTGCGGGCGAATACGGAAAGACTCTGGTTCGCAGGGGAGGCGACTAGTGCCCCCTATTTCGGGTTCTTGCATGGGGCGTGGTATGAGGGACGTGAGGCGGGGGATAATGTTGCCGCGCTGTTGCAGGGAAGGTGTGCGGAGGATGTCACTCGTACTGCTGGTACTAGTAGCACTAATGGGGAAGAGGAGGAGGAAGTTTGTGGGGAAAGGGTGTTTTATGAGCAGTTGAATGGGACTACGCCGTTGGATGCGTATAGTCGGCTGAATGGGTGGCCGGCGGTGAGTTACTACTAGTAGGAGCATGGTTGGTTTCTTGTAGCATCTGCTTCATTGTCGTGTTGGTTAGAATGGATGGATGGATGGCGCTGGGGTGGGAATTGACTTTGTTAAGAATCTAATTCAATTTGCGTTATGTATGTAGCCCAATTATTTGCAAATACATATCAATTGGCCTGCTGGCCCAATGGTAAGGCGCTTGACTACGGATCAAGAGATTGCAGGTTCGAATCCTGCGTAGGTCATTTCTTTTTTTATTTTTTCTTTTTAGCCTGTTCGCTTAGCGGTGGGTGGACTATTTCATGCCGGCCTGTGGTCTGGTGGGGCGCCTTCCGTGCAAGATCTATCGCCGGGAGAGATATCAAATCTAGTACTCCGTACAGGTGTCTCTTTGTGGCGTCACTTGTGTTCAGCTGTGGTACCATCCTGATTATGTCAAGTAAATTGGCATTCCTAGACATGTCCCAGTATAGGTCCTATTCTTGTAGGCTTTTTGTATGGCGCTAGTACTAGCTAGTGTAGTTCAATCTCAATTCAATTCGATCAAATTTTATATATTTCAATTTCGGGCTATTCCTACTAATCTGCTACACTCGTGATTCTCCACCCAGAACGAGCTTCATTGTCGCAAATTCATTCAGTACCCTATTCACTGTTGCATCAATCGTTCAATTGTGTTCTCCGCTATAGCTACCTCAAACCATCCCCGACCGTTTTCTCACTGCATCATTAGCCATCTCATTCATAAAAGCACTCCACGCACGCACCTCCTCCCCCCAGAAAAACATCAATGTAGGAATAAGCGACAGTACCAAGCATATAAAAGCAAGTAGCGTACTCGCCCACTGATACCCCATCACCCGGTACATGCTCATACTTGCAAGTGGCAGCATAGCAGAGAAAATATTCTCTCCCGCAGCAACAGCACCCATGGCACTTCCAGGAAACTGGCTGTAAGAATCAACCACGTAGTCCGACACGCCCGTCACGACGCACGCACTACCGGCGCCTACCAAGGTCAACCCAATAGTAGGTGCAATCCATGGAAGACTCGAATAGGAAGTCCAAGCATAGACGAAAAATCTCATGGTTCCTATTGCCTGGTGCAACTAGTTTGAGTTTATACGTATACCAGAATCATGGTAAACTGCTGGAGTCGTGAGACCACTGGTTATACCCAAGAATGGATTTGCCGGTATAATTGCCCAGGTGGTTATGGTGCTGTTCATCCGGATGGTCAACTGGGAGAGAGAGAGAGCAAGTGTTGCAAGGCATTAGTTAATCTCCACGAGCCTTCCATCGGTCAAAAAGGTAGTCGTGTCAGCGACATCGTCTTCGCTTAGAAAACTGTAGGCAAGTAAATAGATAAAATTGGTCGCAGTGTCTTTTTGCTCTACACTACGGCACCAGAGCCAAATCTCTATGCACGATATATCTTGCGATTAAAACACTCGTTGCATTCGAGTTAAAATGGCGTCAGCAGCCGGGATGGAATGACATATGAGCCATGATTTGGAAATCTCTTCTCACAGACTCTCCTTCCGATGGAATTTTCAAAAAGACGCAAGGTGGGCAACCTTCTTTAGGGTATCCTGAAGGGCGGTGGATTATCACAGCTGTCTATTACGGAATAGAATATGTCTGCCGAAGAGGGGAAAGTTGAGCGTGCGAGGGCGCGAAAGATCGACCGGTTAATGGGCAGGGAATATTTTGGATCTAGCAGCACGGGAGCGTGGAGTGGCTTCAAGTAGATCACCAGGTGCTGGGTAGCGGGAGCGTAAGAGGCCGATGAAACTGGTCAACAACAGAGCCACATGGTTCGCGATGCACGCACTTCTCTGTTCGGGAGGGCTGCCTATGGAGGCACCGGATTGTGTTGAAGTCTACGATTGAAGTCTCCTAGGATAGATGAATAGATGAATAGGTTCCGCCGAATCATGGCAGTCCCGGAGGACAGCGGCCTGCTTCCTCGAATATGGCCCCTCACTCATAGGAACCCAGACCCAAGTTCTCGAGCGAGCAACTGTTCTGGAGAACAGACAAATTACTCCTGCAGTCTCCTTTTAATGTCGCGGGACTCGAAGGCCACCATAGGCCCTGTTCATTCATTGCCGGAGCGTGCGAGATATTTATCCGCGCAGTTGCCATAAAGAAATTTTAGATTTACACGGGCCTGGCTTGTAACTATAACTATGGCGAAATATCAGTGTTTCACAGACTATTCTCCGTTCTGGGTTAGTCCTTTATACCGCGACACCTGCATTGGCCTGAATGGTGATAAACCCTGTCCTTGCGCCCTGATATTTGCCGCCGCCAGCATGCCGAGATTTGCTTTTACTAACTGCAATTGGATGTGAACAAGAAAACATACCTCCAGACTATAGCAAATTTCATGGCATGGGTTAATCACAGTCACAACGCCAGCGACATTGCCAAAAGCTGGATGCAAGATAGAATGCAGCAACGGATGATTCCCATTTTCAACTCGCCAGACACAATCGCAATACACGGAAGCCGATACTCTTTAAGGTTGGCTCATCATCACAGCCCACCAACGTTCTGGAAAGCAATATACAACAATGAGTTTGCTAGCACAGCCCGTTTTGCCCGAGCCTACCGCGCGTCTGAATTTTCGGCCATACTGTCTTCATGATGGCCATATCCAACAATTCAGGAGACGGGGAAAAGACGGACATTTACTCATGAGACCATTGCATTCGCAAGGACATATCATATGTCCTGTCAAAAGTGGCCTTGCATGATATGATGTAGAGGGCTCCTGTGCCTACCCGCCCGTGGTATTCCGCTCACACCGAGCTTCTCTGCATTGCTGTGCAACTTTGGAGAGGGTGGCCTTGTCCCATCATCTATCTGGGTTCCATCCAGACCAGAAGAGTTGATTGTGTATACTAGCCACACGAAAGGATGGCCGGGGGATTTGTCGCTGGTTGATCGTCCGTGATTGAAGAATCTGAGATCGGCTTCTGAATCGATTTCAATTCCTCGCAAACGAAGCGGTCCTGGTCAAGAGCGATGTCCAACACACGGAGGGCGGAGCGGTAGTCCATCTTGCGAGATGTCAAGAGGTCGAGCACACCCACGGGACCAGACATGCCCTGCTGGTAGTACTGTTGCAGGACTATTCAACTGAGGGCCAGAAGCGTCTGGCCGCTCTGAGGGTCATTGGCAACGTTCCCGGGCCATGGTAGGCTTGACTCCAGCGACCGCCAGCTCCGATACTCGGTGTGGCAGGCGATGTCCGCGTAGAGGCCCTTTTCTATGGTCATGGTTTTATAGAGACAATGTGAAGCGGGAACGACTAGATTCATGTTCAGAGGGGGGAATAAGAAAAATTGGCCAAAGGCTTTTACTTTTACCCATAAGCAAAGACCATACTCGAAGACAACAGTCCGGAGCGCGCAACTGAGACGGCGCATCGTGGAAGAGGAACCCCTTGCATTCATAGGGGTGGCCACTAACTGACTGTCGCTGTCCCTCCTTCCAGGCAAGATAGATACAATTTGCTGGGTTTCTCTGAACAATATGCATTCTTGCATTCATCCCCTGCTCCATCCCTTGACGCATTCCAATGGAGACTTGAGTGGTTATTCGCAATAATGGCGATCAGCTAGAAAAATGTACATGCATGTCTCAACTGACCACGAGTTAGTCGGAGTCCCCACGGGCAACTGGCGTAAGGGAATTCTGCAACTCAGAGAGGCGACAACCACGACCCCCTTTGTACTGGGCTCTGATTCGCCGAGGGGATTGGTTACCTGGGCCACCCAGGGACTGTCTAGAGTATTCTGGCGTAGTTTTTGCTAAAACCTCTACTACTTGGGGAGCAGCTTCACCGACGCTGAAAATATTGGCTGTTCACAAGATTGGATGGGACAAGGGAAATGATATCTTGATGGCTATCAGCCACAGACTCGGTAGACCCATATGAAAGCACTACGTCGGTCTACCTGATACATGTAACATACAAATGTATGGTGCTTCTGAAAAAGGGACACCCCCTCAGAGCACCTCAGAATAGATCAATGAGACTATCAGCTAAGATTGGCTTCTAGCGGGACTAAGATGTTCCGCTATGTCCACTTTGCCAGGCCGGCGAGGGCTACATCTTCGCGGCACGAGGCCGGATTTGCGCCTCAATTTCACTATTTTGAAAGAAATACGCACTCGTAAAGATATTGAAAGGTATTTCCTGTACGCCAGGCATGCAAGTGACATCGAAATCGAGGAGGATTTTGGCGAAGACGGTTTGGATGACTCTGCTCGCCATGAAGCGACCTGGACAGGTGCTGGTGCCGTATCCGAAGGCTAGAAATTTGTCGGATGTGGTCGTAACACGGGCAGTACAGGACCCCGACGACGCATCGTAAAAGCGGTGGCTGTCAAACATCTCCGGGCTTGGATACAGATCCTGATCTCGGGCCATCCAGTACCATGGCAGCGTGAGGATCGACCCTGGGGGAAAAGTGCGGCCAAGGGAAGGGATGTGGACCGGTTTTATCACAAGACGACTCGAGGAGTCTGGTAGGTTTGGTTGCTTGTTAGTGTCTCACTAGAACGGGTGGCGGGGAGATTGCGCACATAGACTGGAGCTGTGAAGACGCAGGGTTTCACGCATAAAGCTCTCCAGCTTGGGGCATTGGTTCATCACGTCAGGACAGGTACATTGTCCCGCGGGCAGGGCTGCCTGTAGCTCCTCACGGAGAGGTGCGATGCACTCTGGATTTACCATGATGCGGTATATCATTGCAGACAGGATCACTGTGATCGGTAGAGCAGTTTCAAAGTGAAGGAACATGATCTTGTCAGCTATCCGGCTGATTTGCTTTTCCTCATCGTAGTACCTGGTCTCACGACCAATTGTGTTTTCAGCCATACACTCCTCGACCACGGCATCCAGTAGCGAACAGGACCTATCTTCAGACTTTTCGGAGCGTAATCGACGCACCTGACAGCGAATCTCAGGGATGAGTCTGCTCTTGAGCTCGTTCATGACTGTCCTCATTTTCCGATTTGCCGGTGCAAACCGTGAGATTAGGGAATGCACGGCTCTTGGGAATCTGACGCACATGCTTGTATGGGACATTATCGAAGAGTGGTAGGACATGTAAAGCTCAAGGAGCTTTTGGTCCAATGCAAACTCAGGGCCCATGATACACGCAATCATAATCCGCGAGTTGATATAGCTTATTCTTTCCAAGACATTGATCACCTGCCATCCTGCGGTTGAGTTGGTCACTTGTCCGGGTTTCTCTCCTCTGCACTCGCATCCACTCACCTTTTTCGCCGGGGCTCACGGAAAACGCGGACGGTATGATCTGATCGACCTGACTGGCGACCTTGTCGGAGAATGCATCTGAGACTAGTATTAGCACTCCTCTCCTTGAATTCCCTATTTTCGCATCCCAAGGATCCTCGAAACTCACCCAGATAAGGCTTCTTATTGCATTTGATGAGGGCATTGGTCACTGTCTGCGATGCCACGTCCGAGTGGAGGTGGTACATATTTTCCTGAAGGGGTCACTAGCCTGACTTTCTCGGCTTCTTGGGGGTGGGCCTACCTTTTCGACTAATTTGATGAAGCTGAGATGATCTTGTGGAAGATTGCTCCATTCCCTGGCCGACTGTGGTGGGAGGCATATCCCGTAGAACCGGTTAAGAGTACTTATAGCCCAAGGTAAGCCATTTTTGGTATACTGTCGAATGAGTAATTGTAGTTCCGAATGGAGACAACAGATACATAAACTCTCACCTGTTGGTACGCGTGAGCAGTTTCGTTAACTAGATCGTGCTCGGTTGACCACCATCGCAGCAAAGAGCAAACGTCACTCTTCACACCGACTATGGGAATATCTCCCAATTGCTTTCGGATGCTCCTTCCATAGAGATAGTCGTCCACAACGATGGCGAGGCAGACAGTAAGCGCACTCGCGAGCACAGCCAGCACAGATCCCTTTACAGGATCCCAGTTTGGAAAGAAATCCATGGGAGACCTGAAAACAATGTAGCTATTATTGAGATTGTACTACCCATCTGTACTGGGGGGAAAGGGAGGAGGAAAATATATTGCTTCCTCTCCCAGTTTGTGCGATTAATCCCTTTTTCCCCTTCTGTCTTATTAACTAACATGCCGCTAGCTCCCCCTTGCAGCGTGAGTGCAAATGAGCTCGTCAGGCGCGTTCTCTTCTCCAAGTTCACCGCATGAAGGTGGATAGGTACTCTACCATGTCGGTGAGACAACAGGCATGCATAGTCCAGATTCATTTTATTGCCTGTTTGTATTCACACTGAAATTCAAAATTAAGGGTGCTCTTACTGACTCCCCCGCGCCTGTTTTGCTTTTTACGTTTGCCTAGATTGACACAATAAAACAAGGCCCCGTCATAGAAGACTATAGTTAATAGAAGAGAGTAACTGCTAGTAACAGAATTAAGGGTATCATGAATGTCCCTTTCCTCGTGACTTACACCATGCATACTGGTACTTCATTCTAAACCCCATGGGCTGGTGGACAGTAGCCCGCTTTTGTTCCCCTTCAGGCATCTCAGCAGGCTTCCCTGTAGTCTGAGGCACCAACACATCGTCGCTTGTCGGATTTACACGACATACGGGATGGAGAATCTTTCCGTACTCGTACTCGTACTCACGCCTGGTGGTGGGCAAGAATCATCACGCGATGTTTAGACGCAGGCAGGTAGCCATTACTCCATATTTCTCCAAAGCTCCCCATGGTGAACCAGATGCGGTCTTCAGTCTCGGTCGTGGGGCTGGAAAGGACGTCCCGGGCTGGCTTCAGTCTTCGACCTCCACTTCCTGATTCTGATCCTGGATGAGTAATGTGAAGGTCATAAAGTCTGTGTGCGAGGGACACCAAGTGGTCGCCTGACGATCGGTGGTCGACTCGAGGAGTGCTGGATAGTGCAGTAGTCGTATTTTACTCTGGGGCCCGGCGTGAAGAGAGCGGAAGTAGTCGGCCTCGCTGGGGTCCACTTCCAGCCCCAAGAGCGGAGCGTCCAGGACGGCTCTGTGCAGCTGCTCCAACTTTTGAAGGGAATCTTTCATGAACGCCCGGAACCCGGGGAGGGTCTTTTCGTCGACCCAACGATTATGATGAAAAGGTTCCTGGTCGCTGCCAATATCGTAGTGCTCTTGCCGCCAAAAGTCCTGTTAGCAAAGTCTTTATGGACCCTGACGTTCTCGTTAAATTAACGTAATCAACAGTCGGACGGGCCACACGGTCAGGCGGGCCACCTGGTAATACTATACAAAAGATATCTTTTTAAACACAATATATCTCTACCACCCAGGTCTAGAAGAATTAGACTTTTTCTATATAGATATAAAATAGTATAAAGAATATCTATATACCTTCTAAAAATTAATATAAATCTATTTAAAGACTATCATGTTACAATATCTGTATTTTATATGTATTAAATAAGAATCTGTTTTTATTATAAAGGTAAAATTTTTAAAAATCTGAAAAAATTAATGGAATACTTATTCTTATATATATAATCTATCTACAAAGTTAGAGCTTCATAGAAGTAGTACTGGTTGATATATTATAGAATT